AAACAAAACCCAATTATTCATGTGGTATCATTTCTTTCTCTAGGTTACTTTTTAATTGGTCCATGTCTCTTCCGTGCAACATGGTTTTGAAGAAAGCTGTTGACAGTCTACTTTGCTCCATGTGCCACATACACCCAAATTATTTTTCCTTGCTCATGGGCTGGATGGGAATTATCCCTCCTCCAGTGCAGTGTCATCATAGACTGTCCATGACAGATGATAGCAAGAAGCAAGATCTTAGTTCGTCATTGACAGATGACTCCAAAAATGCGCAAGCACCTCTCGCACTAACCGAATCCCACTTGGCAACTCTTGCTTCCTCTTCCCAGTCTCCAGAAGCTATAAAACAGTTGCTAGACTCAGGGTTGCCCTCCCTTCTTGTGAGGAGTTTGGCTAGTTTTTGTTTTAGCCACATTTCCTACTCGGAAAGCATTGCTCAGTCAATAGATAATTCCCAGGACAAACTCAGGCGGCATCATGTTTCACAGCATTGCAATAAGATGCCTATCACAGCAGACCTAGTTGCTCCTATTCTGAGGTTTTTGACTGAAGTTGGCAATAGCCACATCATGAAAGATTGGCTTGGTGGTTCTGAAGTTAACCCACTGTGGACAGCACTTCTGTTTTTATTGTGTCACTCTGGATCCACTGCTGGAGGACATAATTTAGGGGCACAGCAGAGCAGCCCAAAATCAGCTTCTCATCCTTCAGCCACTACCACAGGACTGACTACTCAGCAACGCACAGCCATTGAGAATGCAACTGTTGCCTTCTTTCTGCAGTGTATTTCATGTCACCCCAATAATCAGAAGCTGATGGCACAGGTAAGAGAACAAAGCCATTTTAGAGTTGATGGGGGCCTTACTAATAGGAGAAAGTATGGCATTTTTGAAAGTAGTTAACTGATGGCCACGTGATAATAAAGCTTGGGATTAAGTACATATAAGTGTCAGAATCTAAGCACAATTGAAGTATCAGTGTCTTTCCCCTCTCCTTGAAATATATGGTCTTAAAACCCATTACATTTAGAGTGAAGTGACTGGAAATTCATGACCATTCTGACTATAATTTGATACTCTTTCAAAACTCCCTAGTTTCAGAACAAGCCTGAAAGAATGTAGTTTGGCTGCTGATTGACTGTTGGATATTATCAAACCGCTATCATCACTGTTGGTTTGCCTCTCATCATAAGACATTAAGAGTAGGTTTCAGGAGAGCGGCTCTGGACATTACAGACTGTTTACTGGAGTTAGTCTGGTGTTTAAGGATATTTGCTGGAGCTTTGGTTTAGTTTGTTGCTGGCTTCTATAGCTCTGTGGCTTTTGTGGCTTTGGGCAAGTTGTTTAATATATATATCAGGGCTAATACCTATATCAGAGAATTTTTAACACAGACATTGTGGACAGGTACCTTGGCCTAAAGCCTCTGTGAAATGGAGTATGATGAACAGGAAAAAGCTTCTTTTTCTTCCTGTTAGTGGGGATTGCTTATTCCTGTCATTCTATTAATATAGGAGAACATTCCAAATTTTTTTTTTTTTTTTTTTTTTTTTTTTTTTTTTTCGAGACAGGGTTTCTCTGTGTAGCTTTGCGCCTTTCCTGGAACTCACTTGGTAGCCCAGGCTGGCCTCGAACTCACAGAGATCCGCCTGCCTCTGCCTCCCGAGTGCTGGAATTAAAGGCGTGCGCCACCACCGCCCGGCTCCAAATTTTTATAAATATAGAGTGACGTGACTTTATTAAGTGGAAAAGCAAGGTATATTAATGCTCATAGTAGTAGTTATTAAGGAAAGTACTTTCTGCTTAAAAGGGAGTGCTTGAATTATAAGCTCAAACCCAGGAGCATAATTATTGACATTTAAAAGTTAAAACTGTGCTTTGAGTACAACGAGTCGCTGTGTTTCTTTGATTTTTGGCTTTATTATCACCCATTTCTTATTAAGACTTTGCTTTTGATGCAATACCAATACCAATCTCCACCCCCCACCCCCACCCCCCAAGTCCTCACTGTGAAGCCCAGACTGGCCTCAAACTCACAAAGACTTACCTGCCTCTCAGTGCTGGGATTAAGGCATGGGCCATCGTACTTGACTAACGGCTTATCTAAAAGTAATTTTTACTGTATTAAAAACACTTTGATATTGACTAAAATTAGTTATGCTAGATGTGAAAAAGTACTAAGCATTCCTCTCAGCTATTGAAATTGTTCTTACTTTGTTTTGTTTTTTCTTTTTTTGTGAGTCAAGGTCGGTCTCAGTATATAGGCTGTCCTGGAACTTGCTATGTAGACTAGGCTGACTTGAGTTTAGACACCTACTTGCTTTGCCTCCTGAGTGCTAGGATTAAAGGTGTGTGCCATCATACTGAACTGTTTCTTACACTTTTGTTTATCTGCCTGTGTATTCCTATATTTTAAGATAAGAGTGTTTATATGAAGACTTGATGCATTAAAATACTTTTGTTAGCCAAGCAGTGGTGGCACATGTCTTTAATCCCAGCACATGTCTTTAATCCCAGCACTCAGAGAGACAGAGGCTGGCAGATCTCTGAGTTGGAAGACAGCCTGGTCTACAGAGTGAGTTCCAGGACAGCCAGGGCTACAAAGAGAAACCCCGTCTTGGGGGAAAAACGTTTGTTAGTTTACATTCTTAATTTCTTGTTCATTTTTCAAAATATAAACCTTCTAATAATCCACTTAACTTTTGAAATTTCTTCCCTTGCCAGGTTCTCTGTGAACTATTTCAGACAGCTCCTCAAAGGGGTAGCCTCCCAACATCAGGGAATATTTCAGGGTTTGTACGAAGACTGTTTTTACAGTTGATGCTGGAGGATGAGAAGGTGACAATGTTTCTTCAGTCACCATGTCCAGTGAGTAATATTAATTATTACCTTCATGTCTCTATAACTTGAATACTCTTTTGGGGAAACTTGCAGTGAGTTCTGTTCTCTCTCTCTCTCTTTTTTTTTTTTTTTAATTTTCTTTTCACTTAATGTGTATGAGTGTCTTGATCGAATGTGTGTCTATGTACCATATATATGCCTGATACCCAGGGAGGTGAGAGTAGGATGTTGGATCCCTGGAACTAGAGCTCTGGGAGGTGCCGTGTATGTGTTAGGACTCAAACCCAGGTCCTCTGTAAGAACAAGTGCTCTTCACTGTGGAGCACTGGCTCCAGCCCCCTCTCCTCGTTAGTAATGCAACAGACTGAAGCAAGAGCTTTTAGAGTCAGTGACAAAACCTAAGTGTCATCAAGGAAAATTTGCCGTAGCCCCTTTAGGGAAATAACAACTGTACTGTATTTTGAATTGTGTGATTTGTTTTGGGGATACACACATTATGTATTACCAATCTAAAAAGTTGATGAGCAATTCCTATGGAAAGCATGCCAGAAATACTTAAAATATTCAAAGTACTTTGTATACTTTACTAAACTTTTTATTCTTCCATGCCTTTGAAATTGATTTGTAATGGTATGTATTCTAAAACACTCAGCTTCTTAATTAATTTTTTCCCAGCTGTACAAAGGGAGAATTAATGCAACTAGTCACGTCATCCAGCACCCAATGTATGGAGCAGGTCATAAGTTTCGTACTCTTCATTTGCCAGTCTCAACAACATTATCAGATGTTCTTGATAGAGTTTCAGGTAAGTTTTAGTTTTTCTTTAACCCTGTTTCATGCATTTGAGCTTTAAGAATACGATTTATGCTGGTGGCTGTGGCACACGTCTTTAGTCCCTGCACTCGGAAGGCAGAGCCAGCCGGATCTCTGTAAGTTCGAGGCCAGCCTGGTCTACAGATCGAGATCCAGGACAGGCACCAAAACTACACGCACAAATCCTGTCTCAAAAACAAGCAAGCAAACAAACAAACAAACAAACAAAGGATTTATTTTCATTTTATGTGTATGGCGGTTTTGCTTGCAAATGTATATCTGTATCACATACATGCATCGGTTCCTCTGGAACTGGAGCTAGAGACAGCTGTAAGACACTATGTGGTGCTGAGGACTGAGACTGGGTCCTATGCAAAAGCAGCACACACTCTTAGCTACTGAGCCAGCTCTTCAGTCCCTTTTAACTTCATTAGTTTCCACCCACTCAGAAACTGTTTCACAAGAAAAAAATGTAAATACCTTCATAGCTTGAAAACAGAACACAATACTAATTAGGCAATAATGAATATTACCTACAGGGAATAATACTCTTAGCTATGATGTCAGCTATGTCTTGTGATAACAGGATAGGAGTTGGAAGTGCAAACAGTCCATTGGAAATCGTTGGTGGGTTTTTCCCACACACAGCTATCTGGTCCCTCTCTTGTAGTTGCATTAGTATATGGACGGCAGGTTTCAAATCAGTAAGTATTTTCTGAATCTAGAGATAAAATCAACAAATTGTCAAAAATGAAAATAAAAGGAGAAAGATTACCTAGTACCTCATTGTTCATAAATGTTAGTGAAGAACGCAGACTGAACATTCTCTTCTAGGTGCTTGTAAACAACATAATGTGTATTAAGGAAAAATCTGCTTTTTGTTCTTTGAGCCAGAATTTCTTTTTGTAACAGACCAGGCTGACGTCAAACTCTGCCTCCTGAGTGCTGGCATTAAAGGCATGTACTACCAAGCCCAGCTGGGAAAAGATGCTATTAATTTCACTGTGAACATCAGTTTTAGATAAGAGTTTATTGCAATTTAGAAGTTCTAGTTATTGAGTGAATAAAATGATTATTTTCTGTAATAACTGTAATTTTCTCTAGTGATGTGCCTGTCAGAATGACCCATTTTGCATCTAAAACCATTTATGATTATGTTTATTAGATTTTAAAGGTAACCGGTAATGTGTATGTGTTATGACATAAAAATAGTTATGTTCCTATTTATATGCTTAAGAGGGAGACCAGTGTTTTCCAGGGAATTAGTAAAGGAAAAGGATGGGAGCTGACAAGTTACCACATGAAATCCAAAGCTCACAAGAAAAGGCAGCTTAAAAGATTGGGAAGGTGCTTGCTTGGCAGCATATATAATGTGATTGGAAGAACACAGAGGGAAGCAGGCTCCTGCACAAGGATGACATGCAAATTCATGAAGGATTCCATTTTTAAAGACAAAGTTAGAAACTTGTAAACATTTGCAGGTAGTAAGTCAAACCATGTAGGTGAAACTGCTCACTATTATGAAATCAAGTAAAAGAATTCTCTTCCAAGATGTTTCTGGGGGTAAAAGAAGTTTCTAGGGGCTAGGGCAGGAGGATCACTAAAGCCTGGGGGTTAGAGTCTAGCATCACAGTGAGACCTTGTGTCACAGCAAGAAAGAGATTGGTTTTTAGTTTACGTTCCTGTCACTAACACAGTTGTTTGCAAAGAGCTGCAGTTCTACCCCTCCGCTATACAAAGAATACAGTAGAATTTTAGTATGCTGTAATAACTGCATTTTATAGTTTGTTTTTAATTTAGAAATGGCAACTTACTATTAAAACAAAACTAATGCTATTGCTTTCTTTCTGAATAATGTAGAAAAGCACTATATTTTAGACAGTATTTTCTTACAGATACTCCAAGTATCACAGCTAAACTCATTAGTGAGCAAAAAGATGATAAAGAGAAGAAGAACCATGAAGAGAAAGAAAAGGTGAAGGCGGAAAATGGGTTTCAGGATAACTACAGCGTTGTTGTTGCTTCTGGTATGCTTTCTGCCATCTTTATTTCCCTTGGTTTCTAATGTAACACAGCACTTGGTGTTTACAGAAACATCACCTAATAAGTAAATGTACTCATGGGATATTGGACTTATGTTTTTTTTTTTTTTTTTTTTTTTTTTTTTTTTTTTTTGAGACAGGGTTTCTCTGTGTAGCTTTGCGCCTTTCCTGGAGCTCACTTGGTAGCCCAGGCTGGCCTCGAACTCACAGAGATCCACCTGGCTCTGCCTCCCGAGTGCTAGGATTAAAGGCGTGCGCCACCACCGCCCGGCTTGGACTTATGTTTTAATATATAATAATGTTTTAAAATCTTGTACCAGAAGCCTCTGGTTGTTTGTAGAATTACTTAACTGTTTATCAACTAAAGATTGCTTACAATACTTGACCAGGAACTGAACATGTATGAATAGCATAGATACTGAATTTTAATTTGATAGGCTTCCCCTTATCACAATATGAATTGGACTTGAGAAAGTCCATTAATGTAAGAACTTTTGTATAACTTGCTTCTGTAAGCACATGTTAAAACGAAAGTACAAAGAATTGACTGGTTTTCATTTATATTTTTTTCATTACATTAAAGATTTAAATATTTTAAAATTAAGTTTCTAGTATTGATTTAGGAAAAAGAAAAAATACTATCAAGGGTAACTGATAGTTTTGTAGAGTCATATCTTTCACAGAATTGAGATGCATTTAGTTCAAATGAGAAGGCTCTATTAAAAAATGAGGTGAACCAGAGGGAGAGGAAGGGAGGAAAAGAGAGAGAGAGATAATTAAAGTATGCTTAGACTGCTCATCATTAGGATATTGGTATATTTGTCTTCCCCATCAGAAGAATCACCATGACGTCTCTTATACTTATTTTCTAAAACTATGGTTTAGCCACATGTATCTATAGTTGATGGCAACTTGCAGTATTCTTATTTTCTTGGCAAGTATAGATAGAAAGCCAAAATTACAACATATTATGAAGGTCAGATAGAATTGGGAGCTTAGATCTGGATTAATGATTTAGTGTTAGTTAGGAATGTCTATTTTATTAAAACATTTTAGAAACTTTTACTTTATATCCTAACCACAGAACAGAAAAACCTAACCAATTGTTATCTTTAAGGGTTGAAATCACAGTCTAAACGTGCTGTGTCTGGTACACCACCGCGCCCACCATCCAGGAGGGGAAGAGCAATTCCTGATAAAATCGGAAGTACTTCCTCCAGTGCAGATGCTGCTAACAAAATCATCACCGTGCCAGTGTTTCACTTGTTTCACAGACTCTTGGCAGGTAACGTTCATGATGAGTAAACACCAGAGCAGGTTCTGAGACTTATAACTGCACAAGTTGTGTGTTAGCTCTGTTGCTTTGGCTGATTTAAAGTGGTACTGGGGATTTTTCCACATAGTTCATTTTAGGTACAAAAAGTCCACAAAGAGAATAGCCTTTTAAATGTCTTTTTCAATGTCACAAAGTTCTTTTTGTCCCCAATTTTATGTCTTCTTTACCCTTGCTGTGAGCAGAGTGTAAGATGAAGTAGTAGTATCAGACAGGCTTTATAGGTATAATTCTAGCTGAGGATTCCAAGATAGAGCATTGGCAATTAATACATCCTTCCCAGATAAAATTCTTTGTCCAATGCTTGCCATCTGTTAATGTAATCATTTTTGTCTATGCCATACTCTTATTGCCAACTAACACTGATCTCCTTTCTTAACTTCACACCCTAACTTTATAGCAGAGGTCAAGAAACTGGTGGGTTATTTACTATATCTCTGTGTAAATAAAATTTTATTCTAATATGTTTGCCCGTGTTTAATGTATTATCCTTAGGTACAGATAGTTGTTGTAGTTATGTTGTCTCATATCTTAAAGTATTCATTATCTATGCCCCCTATGAAAATATTTGCAGATGTTAGATTTTCGAGTATTTGCTCTTTCATTTGTCGTTTGACCTTGGTATTCTTCAGAGTTTTTTTCTGGGTATATGTATGTTGTATATTGGAAACAGCTTGACTTCTGTAGACTTTCCAGTTTTTAAATTGTTTTTAAATTACTATATTTATCAAACTCTTGCCTAAGTCAAGCCAAGTAAAAGTATCTCCCTCTTAGATTTTGTTTTAACTTAATTATGTCATTTTTAGGTCAGCCATTACCAGCTGAAATGACACTTGCTCAGCTTCTAACTCTTCTCTATGACCGAAAACTTCCTCAAGGTTACCGCTCAATAGACCTTACTGTTAAATTGGGATCAAAAGTCATTACAGATCCAAGTTTGTCCAAAACGGATTCTTTTAAAAGACTACACCCTGAAAAAGGTATGTATGTGATACTGCTTTAAAACTTACAGTTTGGTGGTGGCAAGGTGGCTTCAGTCAGTAAAGTACATACTCTGCCAGCATGAAGATCCAGGTTTGATCTCCAGCTTTCACATGAAGAAGTTGAATGTGCTGAGAGGCAGAGATGAGAACAGCCCTAACATTCATTGGTCAGCCCACCTACTCTTAATTGGTTGAGCTCCAGGTTTTAAAGAGGAAATCCTGTCTCAAGAAAGTAAGGCCAGCCAGGCAGTGGTGGTGCATGTGTTTAATCCTAACAGAGGCAGGTTGATCTCTGTGATTTCAAGGCCAGCCTGGTCTACAGAATGAGTTTCAGGACAGCCAGGAGTACCCAGAGAAACCCTTGTAAAAACCAGAGGTGGAAAGGTAAGGTCAATGGCATCTAAGAATGACAATCAACGCTGACCTCTCCTAGTATGCATTTGCATGCCACCCCTCCTCCCCAGCACATACATACACATATGTAACAAAACAACTTATTGATCTGTTAGGTCAAAGACAGTGTTTTCAATGTCATTGAGCTAATGACTCAATTTCAAATTGACCAGTTATTTTCATATGTTAACTTAATGGTACTTTCTTGTCAGTGATTTGACTTACTTGTAAATATTGGAAACAATTTCATTTGGAATCTGTTAATTCATCTTAGATCATCACTTGAAATGAGTACATAAAGTTTTCTTTCTAACATTTTTTTTGAGAATTACATAGCTGCCATTTTTTTATGCTTATTTATTTCATGTATATGAGTGACCTGTCTTCATGTACACTGTAAGAGGGAATCAGATCCCATTACAGATGGTTGTAAGCCACCATGTGGTTGCTAGGAATTGACCAGTGCTATTAACCTCTGAGCCATCTTTCTAGCCTCTAATTTTTTTTTTATTTCTTAAATTTTATGTGTATGATTGTTTTATTTTCCTAGACATATATACACCATATGTGTGCCTAATACCCAAGGAGATCAGAGAAAAAGGAATCCATTCCTCTGGAACTGTAATTTACAGATGGCTGTAGGCCAGTAAATTACAAATTGGGGTTATAACTTGATTGTTTTTGTTCTCTTTTGTTCTTATTTTACTTCAAAAATTGCTTATTATCATTGTGTGTGTGTGTGTGTGTGTGTGTGTGTGTGTGTGTGTGTGTGTGTGTGTCTGCGTGTGCACCAGCCACACCTCACATGTGGCAGTCAGAGGTCAACTTTGGAGAGCATCTCCTTCCACTATGAATTTCTGGTATTAAACTCAGGCAATCTGACACAGCAAGTACTGCTTTTATCTGCTGAGTGTCTCATCATTTCTGCTCTTTCTTTTTATGTTGTATAAAGGAACGCATATTGTATATGTACATAGGTTCTTTCTTACATACTGAGTTTTTGTGTAATGTATTATGTAGATCATGGAGACTTAATTGGTAGCTGTCCAGAAGATGAGGCTCTTACTCCTAATGATGAGTGCATGGATGGAGTGCTGGATGAATCTTTGCTGGAAACCTGTCCCATTCAGTCACCATTACAGGTTTTTGCAGGAATGGGTGGACTCGCTCTTATTGCAGAGAGACTGCCCATGCTCTATCCAGAAGTAATTCAGCAGGTAAGCTAAGCTTCCTACCATGGTGCATTGTGGCATAGTGAGGTTCTCTGTTAAGTTGGTTATATTAACCTTGAAATGTTCTTGTAATTTTTGAGCACTGGGTAAGTCATGGATTACCTTATAGAATGTATGAGGATCAGCTGGGAATAAAGAACCTCATTGAAGTATGGCCTTTCCCTTTATGTTAATATTATGGTCGTCACACTAACATTTTCATTTCTGTATGTGGCTTAGATGAGATATTGACTGTGGCATACTACTTATTTGTGTCTTTTTTAACTTCTACTCTTAGATGCCATTTCTCATTTAGTTTTAAATCATTAATTCAGCCCATGTCAGTGTTCATTTTTGCTACTGTCATCGATGTGCATGTGTTTTTCATGTTCTTTTATAGTAATGGACAGTTTTGTCATTTGTCTCTCTAATGTTCTTTAAGGACAGAGGAAAATATATGGTGGGTGTCCTGGCTTACACCTCTAAT